GGACTTTAAGCCTAACTCAACCCCATAAAACTAGCTTGTAGGATGAGGTTTGCACCCACTTATAAACTATGAATTGGCCTTATCTTTAGTCGATGTGGGACTTCCAACACACCCCCTTCACGCCGAGGTATAGATATCTCGTACGTGATAGTAGAAATTGGATGGTCCGATAACCGCCCGATAACGGGTGGAATAGAAGAATAGAATGCCCACATAGAACTCGTTAGGATAGGCTCTAACCATGGCTCTGATACCATATTAGAAGTGGACTTTAAGCCTAACTCAACCCCACAAAACCGGCTTGTAGGGTGAGGTTTGCACCCACTTATAAACTATGAATTGGCCTTATCTCTAGTAGATGTGAGACTTCCAACAGAATACTTGCTATCGTTTTGCACTAAGACAAAGTTTCAATTGCATTATTGTTGACACAGTGAACATAAAAGTACTCAGAAATAATGTTGGATGCTAGATACATTTTCAATCTCTAGAGAAATTTCGGAAACAAGTTGACTGACTTCAGGTTTATGTCACAAGTGAAAAAATAAAATGAAAATGTCCCCCTCCCCACTGAATTGACTGAGACATTATCTCCAAATGCAAATATAATGAGAAATCACATTAAATGTTTTTTACACTTTGCCGTCCTTTCACCTTTTGTTCTAAAACTTGAAAAACAGAATACTGAATCACTTTCTTGGAAGTTCTAATGCTGCATCTCTCATTCCTTGTGCACATACTGGGCTTGCAAATTTTTTGTCTTTAGGAACTTGAACTTCTGGCTGTACAGGCCTGGAAAAGTTCGGTTCAGCTGGTTTATAAATTCTTTTCTTAAAATTACATCTTGAGATGGAGTTGTGTTTTATTTCAGGCTGTTCCTAAAAAGCGTTTCAATGATGTGGTTGTTAAGAACGGGGTTGGTTTAGCGTTTGCGGTTATGGGATTCTCTTCTCAAATGGATGGACCTGCAGAGGGGTCTGGTCTAACTGCAGTTGGTGAAACAAGATTAGTGCCTGATTTGTCTACTCTAAGGAGAATTCCCTGGTAAGTACTGCTTTTCTTTACAGGATATGAGCTTTTTCATAAATTAAACTTCTTTTTCAATTGATTCTCAAGTTATCAAACATATAATGTTCTCCAATTAATTAACGAGGGAAAAACTGAAAGGAAAATTTGTTTCCATTTAAAGTCTCTCCTTGCCAATGTAAGATATACTTGTTTATGCGCATTATAACCGTTTTCAGTCTTTATGAATTGTATGAAGAAGTCGAAACAATGAGCCTTCCAGTTTCCCTCTCTCAATTGGCAACTACCATTTTGTTATCTATGTCATTGAAGCTGTGACCAGATATTTTTGGATTATTATCCTATATTTTTCTTTTACATGTGTCTGTTTCTCATTTCATTTTATATCAGAAATTATTTTACTGCTCATGTTTTGTTTATCTTATTTCTTTTCTTTTCTTCTTTCTGTTAAATAAATTTTGTATTTAATTGTTGCCTTGTTTATTAAGTAAATAGTAATTGCATCATTGCATGGATCAAGTGTCTTCTGGAAGGGAAATCATCTTAAGCTGTAGTTTTTTTTTTTTCAGAAATATATTCTTCAGAAGATAGATACAATTTTGTTAACTAATGCATCTCTCTTTTGAATAGGAATAAAAAAGATGAAATGGTTTTAGATGATATGTGTGTTAAACCTGGTGAAGCTTGGGAATATTGTCCAAGAGATGTCATAAGAAGAGCTTCTAAAATTCTGAAAGATGAATTTGACTTGGTACGAAGTTGAGTTCATCCTATCTGTTGAAGTATAGGATGCTTAACTTTTTCTGCTTCCACTTCCAGGAAATGAATGCAGGATTTGAGAATGAATTTATTCTCTTAAAGATGCTAAAAAGGTATGTTATATAATGTTATCTCTGTGATCTGAATAATGCAAATTACAGACAATTTGTTAAAAATGTGGTGAAAAAATATTCAGGGAAGGTAAAGAGGAATGGTGCATTTGACAGGCCATACTGCCCAATCAAGCATCTATGATGCTGCTTCTCCGTACTTCAGAGTTAGTTGATTCTCTTCATTCCTTGGGAATGCCGTTGAACAGGTAAAGGAATTGTACACCATGATCAATTATACTATTCTTATCTTCTGAAGATTTCTTTCACAAATGAAACCAGATTAAGGTAAACCTAATACACCCTGTACCCAGAGTAATAGAGTGATTAACAGCGCACTACCACAACACTATATTCTTGAAACTGAGCGTAAGCTCTGAAAAGCCCATCAATTATGAATAATTTGGGGGTTTAAGCATGACCAAGTCCTCATAAGGATTATCCTTTATAGCATGTTTTCAGACATTGTCTGATACTTCTTTTCAAGCTGCAGCCCACTTTTTAAGCTTAACCTTTTCTTGTAATATCCTAGATACACTGTGAAGCTGCTAAAGGTCAGTTTGAGGTGGTTTTGAAGTATACCATTTGCACTAAAGCAGCAGACAACTTAATTTTCACCCGTGAAGTTGTTAGGGCAATTGCCAGAAAGCATGGCTTGCTAGCAACTTTTATTCAAAGTAAGTGGCAAAGTTTGTCTTAGTTTTATATGATATCTTTGTATTCAGATTTTTGAACGACAGAGAATAACAAAGTAGCATTTCAGAGCTGCTTTAAAGACTGTGCCAGCATATTTGACACCATATGGACACAATTGTATGGCGATAATGTTGTAAAAGGAGCCCCTGCTTGTTTCTTCTATGGAGAATATTCCTGATTGTGTTACTGTGTTGATAAAAGTACCCTCATGATTTGAATATACACTATCATAACAATATCTAAGCAAGACACAATAGTTATACTTCAGGACATTTCTATTACACCCACTTAAAATATCCTGATTAAAATGTTAAAATATATAACTTCAGTAAATTTGTATACAATCATTTCTTTTATCATAAAATTATTAAAAGTCCATTCTTTTACAATCTAACATAAAGTCACATATCATATATGCTCTAGTGGTGTATGTTGACAACAAGTCTTTCTGGAAAGATGCTCTAATGTTATTACTTGCTGTCACTAGCTTTTGAAGAATACATCAATACTTAGACCTTAACTCATGGCCTTTCAGCTTCAAGTCTTAAACACAACTACAAACAAAACATAATTAATGAACTCTATTACAAGACATAATTAACACTAAGAATCACTCCTAACTTTTGTAATCCCCCAACACAATTAATTATAACAAAACATTAAACATAACTAACAACATTTAACATTCTATGTATAGACTAGTTAATAAAACATAATTGCAGCTGATGAACTATCTAAGGAAACCGTTAAAATTACTTTTGTTGGTGTAACAGAAGTTTTATCGTGACATTGTTTAGGTACGCATTAGATGATATGGGTTCTGGATCGCATGTTCATCTTAGCTTGTGGCGGAATGGCCAAAATGTATATATGGGATCTGGTACATCATCTAAGCATGGAATATCAACTTTGGGAAGAGAATTTATGGCAGGAATTCTACAACATCTTCCTTCAATCTTGGCATTTATAGCACCACTCCCTAACAGGTTGGTCTTATTCTGTGTGTTTTGACTGAAACTGATGTTATTGTATGACATTATATTGCCAGCGTTGATAAAGTTTAAGTTGTTATGAGTAAGATAGGATTCTTTTTTCCCTCTCTAACAAGCGTTATTTTAAATTGCAAATACCAAGTTTTGGAATTATGCCGCAATGTTACTTTGTTATCTGAATTCGTGGCAGTTATGATCGATTGCAACCCAATACATGGAGTGGTGCGTACCTTTTCTGGGGAAACGAAAATAAGGAGGCTCCATTGCGAGCTTCATCTCCACCTGGAACTCTCGACGGTCTAGCCACCAACTTTGAGATGAAATCATTTGATGGTTCTGCCAATCCATACTTGGGCTTAGCTGCCATACTTGCTGCTGGCATTGATGGGCTTCGAAGGCATCTTCCTCTTCCTGAACCTGTTGGTAAGATCATATAACCTTGATTATAATGTTTAAATCAACCATGAGCTGCACAAAATATTAAAATAGTTAGCCTGGGAATAACAGTGGCTTTTGATACCAATAATGGGATATTCATGAGGGAAGATTATATATATCAAATCTAGATAAGATACTGATACCATTTTTAACCTAAAAATTCGAAATATTAGATTTATGGGTCATTTTTCTT